AAATATGTTTTGGACAAAATGAGAGGATCCAAGATTGAATTATGCAGTTACCTGGTTCCACTCCCTCCCCCAGCGGTTTCTGGAAGAACCTTAGGCAGTTCAGACACCCTTGAAGTTTTCCTGGGGCATGTCTGAAGGGCTCTGGTTGGGTAGCCTGTCATGACGCAGAACAGCCTTTTAGAGAGGCAGCCTGGAACCCAATTGTTGCTTTTAAATTTTTTTCCTCATGGTAACCACTTATTTCCTGATGGACTTTCACTCTATTGGTTTTCTGGACACTGAGAGAGAGAAGCTATTTACAACTGGTATCCTATATAATAAAAGCCTAGGTGGTGTCATGCCCTCGCGTGATGCCCTCGCGCAATGTCACCACAAGATGATCGCCACAAGATGGCCAGCAGGGGAGGGCAGTTGTGGGCAATCAGGCCGGCAGGGGAGTGTGGTTGGGGGTGACAGGTCTGCAGGGTAGGGCAGTTAGGGGCAACCAGGCCTGCAGGGGAGGGCAGTTGGGTGCAACCATGCCTGCAGGGGAGGGCAGTTGGGTGCAACCAGGCCTGCAAGGGAGGGCAGCTGGGGGCAACCAGGTTGGCAGGGGAGGGCAGTTAGGGGCAACCAGGCCAGCAGGGGAGCAGTTAGGCATCAATCAGGCTGGCAGGGGAGCTGTTAGGGGCGATCAGATTGGCAGGCAGAAGTGGTTAGGGGCAATCAGGCAGGCGAGTGGTTAGGAGCCAGCAGTCCCGGATTGTGAGAGAAATGTGTGGCAGTTGGAATCCCCAAAAGGGTCCCAGATTGGAGAGGGTGCAGGCCGGGCTGAGGGACACCCCTCCTCCCTGCCCCCTGCATGAAACAAATTTTATGCATTGGGCCTCTAGTTTCTGCATAAAAGAAGAACAAAGTCCTCTAGTAGAGATTTCTTCTACATACAGGGTGGGGCAAAAGTGGGTTTACAGTGGTTCTTATAGAAAATAATACAATAATGAATAAGTAATAATACAAGAATAAACTCTGTTTTGCATTCTCACAGTTGTAAACCTACTTTTGCCCCACCCTGCAGATATGAGTACATCTGCATCTCCTAATACGGCTGCTTGCCAAGGCTCTCTTAGTTTTATGTTGTACAGGGTGGGGCATGAGTTGGTTTAGATGTCAACATTTCTATGTCTCGAGTGCAGGGCAGGCACTGATGTTACAGAGATAACTACGCCATGCAGACTCAGCAAACAAAACACATGTTGTTTCTAACTTTTCTTTCCCCCTTTAGCCTGGGAGGTAGTAAAGTGTAATAATTAGGAATCAGAGTCTTGAGTTGAAATCTTGACTTTGCTATTTCCTAGTTCTGCAACTTTGGCCCATTACTTGTTCTCTGTGAACTTTATTTCCTTGTCTACATAGTGAGCAAATGAATAGAATAGCCATTCCACACAATCATTGAAGGCATTGAATAGTATATCATATGGGGACGTGTTTTATAAAGTGTTCAGTTCAAGTACAGAAAACCCAATCCAAACAACTTAAACAAAATAAAAATGTATTGATCCTCATAATGAAGAGTTAGCGCTTCAGGCATGGCGAGATCCAGGGGCTCAAACACTGCTGTTAGGTCTAGACTTCACCTTACTTTTATTATGCTCCCCTCCACATTGGCCCTCTCCTTGGACAGGTTCTCCCTTATGGGGCAAGGTGGCTGCAATATCGTCCTTCTTTCTCCTCCAGTTTCAAGTCCAGGGGGAAAGAGAGGATTCCTCTCTCCCAACAGTCCTAGCAAAAGTGCCAAGGCATCTCCTTAGCTCTAAATGGATTATCTAGGAACCAATGCAACCCTGACATGAACCCACCTCGGGAGCAAGGGGTGGAGTCAGTACCCCCTGGATTGCTTGAAAGTGCAATGGTTTCCAAGAAGGAAATTGGGTGCTATTGCCAAAGGAAGGGGAATTGGATGTTGCCAGGGTCGGGGTGAATTTCCTCTAGAAGGCCCTAAAGATGAAAGAGTCTGGACTTTAACACCAGTTCTAGAAGTCCATATGGAGATCTTTCTTGGACCTTATAAGAAAAAAAATCAGATTAAATGAAGAAAGCACCACTCGATACAGTAATCGTGAATTTACATTATTATTATTTCAAGAACTGAATGAAAATACAGAGTAAAAAAATGGACGAAAGGTTCCCAATGAGAAACCAGAACATTGTGTAGTGGGGCGGGGTGGGAAGTGGCGGCTGGAACTCTGGAAAGTCCATAGCCAAGGACACTACGCCCAGCCGCAGAATGCAGAGCGGCAGGGGCTGAGCTGAGGAGTTCCTGGGAGCCTGAGGGTGGATGACGGGGCAGCAGGCTAGAGCTCTGAGTTCCCAGAAGTCTCCACGTTATCATCTGGACTGGCTGTCCTGGCCAAAGATCTTTAGTTCAAGTTCTTCCTGCCAAGTAGTGGTTCTCAGACTTGGCCGCTCACTAGAATGACCAGCTTTTTAAAAGATGATTCCAGGAAGCGCCTGCTGGCAACTGATTCACTCAGCCTGGGTGGGGCCAGAGTCTGGATGTGGAACCAGCTTTCCTGGGGCCAGGACTAGTGTCTGGGTCTCTAGGGGCCCTGTCCATCCCTCCCCAGCTGCACTCCCCACTCTGTATTGGACGGACCTGTTGACACTGCTGT